TGTGGGGCCGCGGGGGGCTTGTCAGTATCGCGGAGGGGGGGGGGATGAGGTCCCTCCCAGGAGGGGGGGGGGGGGGGGGGGGGCCCCCCACATGGTCGGTGCTGCACCCGGAAGTGGACTGGAAGTACTTCCAGTCCACTTCTGGGTCCACTGCCAAGTGCACGGGGGACCCCTCCCTGCCACGCCCCTCCGGCTTGGCGATCAGCTGTCGGGGGAACCTAGGTGCCCCCCCAGACCCAAGAGGCACCACTCTGAGCCAGGGGGACAGGAGGTACCCTGTACACTCCCAGGCAAGGCCAGAAAGCACTACCGGGTCCACTGTTGAGTACTTGGGAGACCATGGGACGCTCCATCCGCCCCAGCATCTCAGCATTCACGAGCCGCCTGGTACCTTGAGGTGTGTAGAAAAAACATTTAAAGCTGTGTCTATGTCCAAATCATCAAATCTTTCTGAATCTCTCCGAATTGATTCAGAGGGTTCCAATTTGATTCGAAGAGATTAAAGGGTCTCCTGATTTGATTTGGAGATTCGGTCTAAAATCAGACCCAATCTCTGCCGAATCAAATCAGCAACCAAAGCTTTGCACAGCCCTACAGCGCAGCCCCTGTTCAGCTGGAAGCTGCACTTGAATCCCTGCTGGGGAGCAGGGCTTGGGATAAGCAGCATTGGAGCTGATGCAGCTCCCAGCTGCCTGGCCCTGGCACAGGTTCAAGCAAACCCTCTTGCTGCTGATGTGCCACCGAAGCCACCCAGCCTGCACTGGACTGGAGCTGAGTTGTTGTGGCTCATGGCTTGAAAAGGTTGCAGGCCCTTGATTCTGGGAAGAGATGAGGTGAGCAACTTAACTGAGAGAGACGGGACAGAAAAAAGGTAGGACTGGAGTATTCCCCCTTTCTTCTTATAGATCTCCTTATACACAAAGTGTAGAATTATATCTACCACTCCTGGGAGACACACAACAGCAAGGCTCCACCTAGTTTAAGTGCATCAGTCAAGTCCCAGGCTCAATGGCAAGCTCACTGGCAATCAGACAGATTAGTAGGACCCCAGCTTCCCCATGCACATGATAGAAGGAATGAGAGGTCCTATTGTTCTGAGACTGCAGACAGAACTCCAGAACTTTCTACATCCTTTGGGCCACAGGATGTTCTTTTGAGCACAAACACCTCTTCCTGCCCTCAGAAAGATCATTCATTCATCATTTGCAAGAACTGAATCATTCACTTAGAAGCTCTACTAGGCTGAACAGTCTAGACCAGAGGTTCTCAAACTGTGGTTCACAGACAATCACTGGTGGTCCATTCAGGCAGTCCGCAGAAAGGTTGCGGAACAATCAAAAATATCTATACTTGGCCCTGCACTTGATTTATTTTTTTCTGATGAGGGAGATCAAGGCTGTTTTGACAATGATGCAAAAAAAAGTTTAAGTGTTCCGCTGAGACCCTCAGCAATTTTCAAGTGGTCCGCGAAAAAAGAAGTTTGAGAACCACTGGTCTAGACAGCTTTATATAGGTGTCATCGCATGCAGACAGCTGGCTATCAATACCTGTCAAATCTGATGAGACTCCTTGTACCAGGAATATGGCCTAAGATACCCCAATTAATGTAGGTTTGTGAAGGACAGGATCTCTCATAATAAGCCTACTAAAGTAAGTTATGGCACCGTCTCTAGCACAAAGGTTGTTGAACTTTGCAGCTTCCATGGGCTGGGGCTTGTAACCTGGCTCCCTGCTGTGGGCCACAGATCTCTGCCTCCTAGGATGCTCAAGCTACCTATGCTTACTCTTGCTCCTGATCCCAAGCCCCTCTGCAGTGAGGGCAATCACAGGCAGAGCACCAGGAATAGCTATGGAGGGGGACAGTGCAGATGGGATAGGCAGCACAGCGCAGCAGAGAACCTCCCAATGCCACCCTTGGGCCACAGGTTGCCAACCCCTGCTCCAGCACATACCCTGAGGCTTTTAGCAGAATTAAAAGTGAGTCACCAAGACAGTATTTCTTCATGTGCACAGGGATTTCTGGACGAAAACATACTTTCTATTATTTTCTTACTTAATTGCTATATAACATTATCAATAAATTGTTCAGTTTTATGATGCCAGATTTTTTTTTATTCATAGCACATTACCAGTTTCAGAAAATCTGAACAATAGTGAATACACGTGAAAAAAAATTGAGAATTTAAAATCTTATAAAAAATAAACCAACCCTTCATTCTGACATTTTCTCTCTCATTACAAGGCTAAATAAAAAACATTGCTTGAGAGTCTTTTAGGTGATGTACCTTTGCTGGGAAAAAAATAATAATAACCAGTTATAAGAGACAGATCTTGGATTTCACTGTTAGGGCCCCTCTAGAGCTTCAGGTAAAGGTGTGATAGCATCTGATGCATGATCCATACTATCATGCCTCCTACCAATGCCACATATGCATGGCAGGAGGCATGACTGTGGGATCCAGCATCAGACCCAATCATGCCTTATTGCCAGTGTAGGGGGAGCCCAGGTCCCCTGCACTGGCAAGTAACAAGCTTCTGCAGCTGACGGGACTCTCAGCCCCTGACAGTACCCCACAGCTGCTGCAATGGAGAGTACTGTCAGCTGACAGGAGACACAGCTCTGGCAACCGTCAGCCCTGGCAGTGCCCCATGGCTGCTGGGGTCCATGCTCTGTGGGAATCCCTTCCGTGCACTGTGGTCTAGGACTCCCAGCTGCTAGTAGCACATGGTGCATATGAAAGCTGGATAGAAACCAGCTATAAAGTTATTACACATTTTTCAGCTCTAACTTTATAGTTGGATGGACCTTTTATGGCATGATAGTTAATTTACATGTGTAATCAGTCTCAATTAATTCCGTAATTAACAAGTTCACTGCATAATACATGTAACGTGTAGAGGGGGCCTTAAATTCTAAACTTGTTTCTTCCTAAGATAGAACAAGACAAAAATGCAAAAAAGGAAGAGAATGAAAAAGAGAGTAAATAAGAAAATGCAGCTTCTGTGACTAACTGCAAAAAATCTTAGGAATGGCACGGGACACTAATTAGCCACTCCCGGAACGCACAATGGCATTTCTGTTTGCCTTTCTGGTCACAGGGCCAGATGAATTTAATAACCTTGCATTCAGCAAATAAATACATTACCAGTACACTAGTGTAACTTGTACCTATATATCGTTCCTTCTTAGTTTTTAAGGTCACAGCTAAAAAGCCTGCATGATTTGGTTTGTCTGGGTAGGCTAAACAGAACTGTTATAAAACACAAGGCAAAGAGATAAAGAAGAAAGATAGAGTGAACAGAATCTGAGTGAAGAAAATAGAAACTGTCACATAAGAAAGAAAAGGCTGTGGGCCCGGTCCTCAGGCTGGATCAGGCCCAGAATCTCCCCTGATCTCCTCCCTCACGGATCCAGCATGCATCGTTCCCACTCTAGGACCCATGCTGCACCTGGCACCTGTTCTGGCCTGTTCAGAAGCAGATATCACATGCTGCGTGCATCCCAGGACCTGTACACAGGGCCAGTCCAGTGGTGTGCAAGTCAACTTGGACCCAGGGACAGCACCAGAGACTGGATGATGGGACTCTGTGGGCCAAATTTGGCCTGCAGGCTGTATGTTTGATGCCGCTGACCTATTTCATCCTGGGATAGCTGACTGCTTCATGAAAACCAGTTCCATGCTACCTAATGGCCAGGCATCGTAATAGTGCCTGCTGCAAACAGTTAGCTTTACTTCAGTGCAAAATCTGGAGCGAGTTACTGAATTTTAAACACTGTTTCCATAACCTTAATGCATGTGCACAAGAGTTAGGTGCTTAATTGCAAATTTAAATCTGGTATTTCCTGACTTTTCAATCTTATCCGGTCCTTTAATGATTTTTAATGTAGCTTTTCAAAAAAACCCCCACAAAAAAACAAAACAAACAAACAAAAAACCCTGAACCTTGTTTATCAGTTCATTTTATTACTCAGGATCAATGTCCACTGACTTTACCTGTTTCCATATTGCTGCTTTTAAACATTAGGAGCAGTAATAGACATCCACAGTTAAGCTCAATATCTGGCTCAAAAGCAACTGACCATCTACCTTAAACAATCCTGAGATCACTTCCCACAAGTAATCCAGCCCTTTCCTGGAAGCTCTCCTGAGCTTCCAAGTTTGTGCCCTAGCTTGCCACTTCCCTACATGTTCAGTACTCAGCCAAGCTAACCAAGATGGATGGAAGCAGAGAAAGTCTGCATGCAGCCCTTCTGCATCTCACTTCCTGTCTCAACTGCCTGTAACAAGAGCAAAGCAGAGAAGAGGCAAAGAAAGGATGCAATTCCTGGAAGGCTCCGAGCTTTTTGTTCCTCTCCAAAAGTGCTCTTCCAAAAGTCAAACTGTCTCCTCCTAATCTTTGCACATACAGAGCTTTAAAATTATATAGCAAGGTAGGGGCAAGCTTATGTTTCTGAGGGCAACTCTTATAGTTGCTTCAAACAGGTAGAAGAGCATCAGAGGAAGGCACTGGGGTTAGTCAGCTTATCAGAAAGACCCAAAAACATCAGCTAAGGAGGGTCAGCATGCCAAACTCCTTTTCTGCCTGCAGCAGTCAGGCTAGAGACGGGATACAAGGGACAGATATCTCTTCCCACAAGTGGGATGTGAAAGCAAGTATATTTTCAAACTTAAAAGACACCTGATTGTTGCAGTTGAAAAATAAAAGTCACTAAGCATGCAAGTGGGGGAAGGCCTAATTTCTGATTCCTGCTCTCAGGGTAATTTCTGTTTTTCAGACAACAGCTTTTTACATTAACTTGCATAAGCACTCAGGAAGAAGAGACTAGAATCCAGGAATCCCCTCTCCCAGCTGAGTGCCTTACAGATACAGATGCACTCTGTATGTCTTGCTTTCCTTCTGGCTTTGCGAATCTTTAATTCTTTGCTGCACAGTAATCTAGCTTCAGCAGGAGGCAGGAAGGGTGCCACCTTTGGACTACTGATTAGGACATTCTTCTAGAAAATGGAATATGTGGGTTTGAATCCCTACAGGCTGCTAAAGGAACTGAGCTTGGTCTCCCAAGTGCTCTAACCTTTATGTATTATGAAAAACCCAGGCATCACCACCACTTTCTCCTCCTCAGATGATGATGGTTTTAAAACAAGTGATCTCTGTTCAATTCTCTCAAAGAATACTTGTAGTTCTCTGCTTTCAAGAGTGGGTTCCAGGCTTTGGATCTTGAATAGAGGTAGCTATCCTGAAACCCGATTTAGGGGCCCAAATTCCAGGGAGGGATGGGAAATCAAACAAATCTTTGCTTTCCTATTAGGTCACGGGTAGGTAAAGTCTGACCCATGGACTGGATCTGGCCACCAGTGGACATCATGTCCCAGCAGCCCCTGCCTGCAGGGCTGTGGCCGGTCTCCATGGACACCCCAGCTGCAGCTACGAAGTCATAGTGAAGCCACGAAGACCGGCCCAGCCACACTACCGGAGTGCATGGCAGGGCAGGGCAGGGCAGGGCAGGGGGCTGCTCTGAGGCCACTGGGATGTTGCAGCACTGTAATGTTTAAGTCCTTTTCTTTGGATGCTCTATAATCAGTGCTGCTCAACCTTTTTTTCTGCTTCTCCCCACCCCCCTTCAAATGGGCCAAATATTAAATCAGAAATGGGCGGAGGACTGCACAGAGCATTTTGAGGTCACTAGCATGTCAGCATGGCTCCTGCCAGAGCTCAAAATGGTAGTGAACTGTCTGAGCTCGCCAACTGTCTGCACAGGTTCTGGCCACACCCAGGGGGTGATGGCTCACAGGCCATAGGTTGAACACCACCACCCTAAATGTAAACACCTCTGAAAAACTAAACCAAAAAACCCCCAGTGTTCAGAAATGGTTCTAATAAAGCAAGTTATTGAAACATTTAATAATGGAGGTAAATATTTCTGCATAATGAGAAAACCATTACAATCAGATACATTTTAATTACTAGGGAAGACACAGCTAAATAAACTGTAGTTCAATGTAAATCTTTGAATAGTAAAGTGAATGAATTAAGAATAGTTTGTGGTATTCCACGCATCTCAGCAAAAACAGAAAAAATCCTAAGATTTATTACATGTTTAAATACTTTTTGGCACTAGAAAACAGAGATATAAGGTTTCTTTTGTTTCCAAAATCAGGATCTCCAAGAATTATTTTTTTTATCACGAAATATCTACAATTTATATTAATCTCTAAGAAGTGACCAATGGATTGAGAGTAAATAAGATTTATTATCACAAAGTTTGACTGGCTGCATTTTTCCAACACAATTCATTCGCTTGCTTTAGGCCGTATCATCCAAGCATTCACTTAGCTTTAACACTATTTCCCCGATATTGATCCAGAAAAGTCGTTTTTTAAAAAAACACCACAACACTTTTGTCCTCCTCTTCTCCAGAATGGTAGTCCGTTGTGGCAGTGATTACAGTTCCATTGATGAAAAAAGTTACTAAAACTACTTAAATAACATTGCTTTTTAGTCTAGCCAAATGTAAAAGGGAACAGAGACTTTTATTAATCTTGTGAACAAACAAGAAGCATTTTCCAATGATTATCAAATGTTATTTTAACAACATAAGCTGTTATAAGGCCATCAGATAGAGGTCAGTAGAAAAAAAATACCAAATGCATGCTATTGTAGAATAAGTAAAAGGACAGAAGGAAGATAGAGACAGCAGTTTATAAAATATTAAGAACATTTAGATACAGGATGACTTTAAAGTACAGTACCTGAAAGCCTGTGAGAGCAAGAAGTGTAAGAGATACCAGGTAAGAGAGAGCTCACAGTGTGAAGCAGAAGAGGTACACTTTTAGTGGTTGGCAAAGCCTCATAAAGATGGACACAGTTGCTGATAGACTGGCTTCGCTTAGCTTCCAGGGAGAAATAAAGTAATAATAATGTCAGAAAACACAGTAAAATATCTGGATTTTTCTTAAGACATTTGCTGTGTCATGGCAAAATGGAACGCAGAATATATCTGAAAAAGCTCTGACAAAAAATACAATATTCAGAAACCACCATGAAATTATTTCTCATGAAGTATATGTTTAATGTTGTTAAAAGTCTACCATTATCATGTTGGAATAAGCTAGCATACGACGTACGCTAATCAGCAAGATTTTGTGATCTACAGGAACATAAAGTATTACAATACCATACCTCATCATAAATCCACTTGGCCATTTAAGACATGGGACATCTTACCAGCTCTTCCTCTAACTGTGTAATTACTATGTACCACCAGTCCATCCTATCCCAAATCTTTCCAGTTTTTAGTTGTATTAGATAACACAATGGAATTTTTTTCAGCCAAGTGTTCACCTTAAAATAAAGAATAGGGAACATCATATTCAATAACTTCCTTTCTGTTAGTGTGGTCTCGCATGATTGAGACATATATGGCTTCTTCTTTCTCTCTGTAATGTTGGAGGCGGTTCAGTGCTGTAACCCAGCCCATCATGGCCATACCCCCTTCTATGCCCACTGGACAATTCCTTCCAAAGCAGCACACAAAGTCTGAGGATAAATAAACCATAATTTCAATGCTAACCGGTAAACTAGTAGGTAAAATGGCCTGCTATACACATATGCATAAAAATTAAGTTAAGTTTTCTCCCTTGGCTAAGACCAGCAAAGGAAGATGGAGCTATAGATGATGTTTAGAAGCAGAAATGAAATTATCCCATAACAAAATTCCTATTCTGAAGCAATTTATTATTTAGATATGAAAAGTACCAAAAAATCAGAAGAGAGAGAGAGAGAGAGAAAATTTCTTCAAGGAAATGACAAAATAGCACTTCTGGATCACCTCATATGAAGCATTTTCCCTCTGAAGGAAGACTACACAAAGAAGAGAAAGTCTAATCTGTTCATATCTAGTAAAGCATTAGAAAAACAAATTGCTATCCTAAAGATTTTCTAAAGGGAAGCACAGCTCTTTCTGCATGTTATGTCAACATTCACCAAACAGTATGCCTTGACTGCATCCCAAACAAGTTTACCTGATACCTTGTATGCTTATTTAATTTGGGTGTCCAAAGTCCTTAGTAGCCTCGAGTAAAATGGAGAGAAATGAGGAACCCAACCTCTTTTGTGATTTGACAGGGTTAAGGTAGACTTTAAGGACTCTAAACAACTATGCTGAACCATAGCTTTTCGGTAGCATGTTGTGGGCTATGACAGGATGATGGCAGAAAAATGTCTTGCAAGGTTTGGAAGAACTGCACTTTCAAGAAGAAAGAAGCTGAAATCTTAACACAGCATGTTTCCTGCACAGCTGAAGCTGCAATTTTCAAGAGTTGCTTATTATTTGATAGCAGCTAAGGAGCAAATTTTAGTCCAGGGGTGGCCAATCTGTGGCACGCATGCTGTAAGTGTCATGGGCAGCCTCTGTGGTGTACATGGCAGACCAGGCAGAAAGCAGAAAGCAGAGCCACAGGCTGGGCAGTAAGCACAGTGGACTGACATTTAGAGAGGGTGCAGGGCTAATCTGCAGCGTGCCAATCAAAAGGGTTGGCCCCCAATCTTTTACAGAACTGACAGAAGGGTATGCCAGTGTAAGTGGTTCAAAAAAACTTGATGGCAAGGATGTTCTTCACCAACTGGAGTCCCATATAGAAAACCTAGTCTGACCAAAGATTTTAGCTAGTTTGACTTGCTCTGAGAAAAGCTGTAGAAAACAGAGGCAGAACTCTCAAAACAATCACTGAAGCCCACTACCTTTTTCACCTGTCTGTTGTCAAAAGAACCTAGTGATCTGAGAAGGGGCAAATTCTGCTCCAAGATGAAGATCTAGTCAGAGCCATAGCCTGTTGTTGTCAAAGGTAGTTCTTAGCGGTGTTACTGTCACTTCTGGTTTTGCCACTTAATCCACAGTTGTCAAGTTTTTTTCTAATGTGTCCAATAACCTTCCTTTAATACTTTCATGAAAAGGCTGAAAGGGATGCCTCTAATAAAAGGCCAAGGAAGCCACCAATTCCTTTCACAAGGTGGTTTCCACCTTTCTATCTGTTAGATCCTTAGGAAAAAACATGTCTATTATGTGACATCACCCAGTTTGTTAAAGATTCCACCACAGCATAGAACTTTGGTATTTCTATAAAAGCATTTTCTGGCTCCCATAGCTTATAGTGAGCGAGTGTGTGACTCCTCATGACTCTCCCCTTGTGAGAGTTTCCCATTCCACTATGATCACATGCTCAAAGGAAAAAGGACTATTGTCCCAGAGACTTGGGTAGCAGGTGCTTGACTTCTACTTAACAATAGGCACCTGCTCTAGTTGGATCTGAATGGTATGTGCAACTTTTCTGCACATAGTATCAAATGTTTCTACTATTCTTCCCCCACCAAATCCCTCCTCATCCTGATTTGGAGAGCTCCCTTTCTTCTGTCAACAAGGGGGAGCCTGAGTCAGAGGTTGATCACTCAGATTTCTTATCTTGATTTCCCTCCCTTTTTATTGTTTTCTGGTATTTTGACATTTTCTGCCTGCTTTGTTGGAGTTGCCATCTGGATGTGGCCAGAGCTTTTGCTTTATTTTGGTCCTACAGCCATTTTAATTCCTTTCCCTTTAGACATGTCTGCATAACAAATGTATTGTGCCAGACAGAAGTACTCATTAACATAGTGCAGCTCCCTCCCCAGCCAAAAATAGCAGAGATTGCTCTCATGCAGTGCTGTTCCCAGGCTAACTAGGACTAGACTCAGCAGTACTAATTGGTTTGGTCATACCTTAACACAAATGTGCTTCAGCCCACAGAGGCTGACATGGTATGTATGAAAGTGCTGCTGCCTGGTCTGATGAGTCCGTGATATAGATTCATCCTCTAAGCCCTCACCCTCATAGTCAGTCATACCACCTGTGAGATAGAAGCCTAGTTTTAGATCGTCCTAGTTCATGTTCAAGAGAGGTACACAGGATCCTTGTTTTTTTACCTGGTAGCTTCTTTTTCTCATGTCTCTACACATTTGACCATTGTGTTATACACGTTTGTGCTTATTTATTGTACTTTGCAAGGTCCTTCATTGTACATGTGCCTTCAAGCAATGGGTGTTGCAGCAGGTGTTGTATAATCTGAGGCTCTGTGCTGTAGTCACAGGTGACTGAACCAATGGTCTAGCCCCACTTCTTCATTAGTTCCTTCAAGTGTCCGACTCTGGTACATAGGTGGTTAAGACATCACTACCTTTGCTATGGTTCATCAGCCCCTGGTGTTAAGGATTCGGCTGCTGGAACATCGATTTTTCTGCAGGCATTTTCTTCAGCATCTCGTTCCACATCCGTAGTCATGTCTCCTTGGGTGTG